GGAACTCCTTCCTGTTGAGTAATTCCGCAGTGTTGTGAAACAGGCCTGTCAGTGCCTTCTCTGTACAGTCGATGGCACCCTATACCGGGGGGAGCCCAGCTATGTTCCCAAATCCCACTGCCCAGGCTACAGCACTAACCTCATTGTGGGCGAACAAAATGATCCAGTGTGATCCTGCACAGCTGGCATCTGTCACTGTCCTGATACATTTGTGGGGAGCGTAAATGAGCGATGCCACACAGGTCACCTGTTAGTCCGTCGAAGGAGCCAGTTCAGCATTGAGCCAGTTCAGCATTGCACTGACCTTCACAGCCACTGGTAGAGGATGGTCTCCCATGCCCTGCAGCCCTCAGCTCCTGCTCCAGGGTCCGGCACACTTCCATCACAGTGTCTGGAGGAATATGGAGCCTGAGATGATACAGCTACAGGAAATGGATTAAGGGCTGAACACCTCTGGTCTTTCTGCATCCTGAGGAGCTCTGTGTCTGCAAACCTCCCTGAGCTGTGTGCTTCTTGTCCTCCATGGTAGCTTGCTACTGCTCCTGAGCTTGTCGTCGTCAATGGTCCTCCTGCATCCACTTTGCCTTCATCAGAGGCAGCCACAGTGACCAACATCCCACTCATGGCTGGATGCACAGTTGTTGTTGGAAATGATTTAGATTGGGAACACAAGGAGCGAAAGAAGTTCTTACATCTCAGAACAGACATCGGTGGCATACCCCTGCAGCTCCATGCAGTGAGACAGGCAGCATACTGATAACTAAGGACATTTGTCCACCATCCATCTACTTTCAGCTCCAGCTGTGCAGCGGTTTGAAGGTGAAGGTGCTGCTGAGTGACCACCACATGTCATCGAGAAGGGAGAGCCTGCAGCACTCCGACACCCTTCCTACCCCAGACCCACACCAAACGCTCACCTTCTCACTGTGTTCCCTACAGACCATCATACCAGTTGCATGACAAATGATGAATCAATGGTGCGTGGTGCACACAGGACCTTTAGAAGTTACATGAATAATGGTTCACTTTCAGACAGCATCGGCCTTTTATCATAGCTGCTAACGTCACTACGGAGATGCCCAAGTTCAATTGACTGGCACCATTAGCATCGTGCAAATGTCCCTTGATGAGCATCTGACCCTAAACATCTTCATTCTGCATGAATAGCAAATGGATGATGAAGTCGTGGCAAATTAAATATCGTTGGGGGTTGCAAAACGCTGCTTCCTGTATTTGTTCTTTCTGTGTCCTACTATCCAGCAAATGTGGATTCCCTGTTTTCACCCATCCAGGTGACACTGACTCTGCCCACCCTGCATGTTGTCCAAGCCATTTTCTTGTAGCATGTCACATCTAGAGAATGGTAAATAATGAAATAATAAAAATAATAAATAATAAAAAATAAAAAGGAATATAACGTTTACGAAACTGAAATCAAACAAGGCCCTTGAGGAAATATAAAAGAAGCAGGAAAGAACTTAAATAAGAAATTCGGAGGGCTTGAAGAGGCCACAAAATGTCCTTGGAAAGTAGGATTAAGAGAATCCCAAGACATTTTATACATATATAAGGATCAAGAGGGTAGCTGGTGAAAGCGGAGGTCCCTTCAAGGACACAGGAGGGAATTTATGCATGGAGTCAGAGGAAGTGGGTGAAGTAGTGGGTTTGGGTGTCTTGAAAAACAATAAGGTAGTTAAGTCCCCAGGGCCTGATGGGATCTATCCCAGAATGCTGCAGGAAGTGTGTGTGAGAGAGAGATAGAGAGAGAGAGATTGCTGGGCCTTGACAAAGATCTTTGTATCCTCTTTAGCCATAGGCAAAGTGCTAGATGACCAGAGAATAACCAGTGTTGCTCATTTGTTCAAGAAGGGCTGCATAGATAATCCAGGAAATTATAGGTCAGTGAGCCTTACATCAATGGTAGGAAAATTACTGAAAAAGATTCTCAGGTACAGGATTTATTTGCATTTGAAAAAAAATGGATTTATTAGGGATGGTCAGCATGGCTTCGTGCAGGAGAGATCATGGCTCACAAACTTGATTGTGTTCTTTGAGAAAGTGACAAAGATGATTGAGGGTGGGGCAGTGGATGTTGTCTACAAGGACTTTACTAATGTATTTGACAAGGTCCCACATGGTAAGCTGGTCGAGAATATTAAGTCGCATGGTATCCAAGGTAAGTTGGCAAATTGGATACAAACTTGTCTTGATCATAAAAGACAGAGGGTAGTTGTTGAGGGGTGTTTTTCTGACTGGAGTTCTGTGATCAGTATGTTCCCCAAGGATCAGTGCTGGGACCTCTGTTGTTTGCAATAATATAATTACTTGAAAATGTAGGTGGTCTGATTAGTAGACTTGTAGATGACATGAAAATTGGTGGAGTTGTGGATAGTGAGGAAGGTTATCAAAGGACCAGTAGGATATAGATCAACTAGAAAGTTGGGTGGAGAAACAGCAGATGGAATTTAATGCAGACAAGTGTGAGGTGATGCATTTCGTAGGTCAAATGCAAGAGGAAAGTACACAGTAAATGGCAGGACCCTTTAGAGCATTGATATGCATCTGAATGTGTCCAAGCAGTCCAAGCCCCCCAGTCCTCCTGGATAGATCCCTACTGAGAAGTAGCCTTTGTGTCTGTGCTATAGAGCATCTCAAAACAGTCATAGTGAAACCCTTTGGACCTTGCTGAAGTGCCAATGAGCAGGCAGGCACAGTAAGGCAAGCTAAGGCAGGGATGCTGTGAGCATGCAGGTAGGTGCTGAGTGAGTGAGCACTAAGAGAGCAAGTCAGCAGCCCTGAGATGCAGCCTGGTCCATTCCTTGAGCTGGGTGCCTGTCCCTGCAGACTGTCTGTGCTGTGGCTTTTCAATGCTGGTTGCCTGTGTGTCCTGCAATGCAAGTGTCTGCTTCCTGAGCAGCCAGCATGTAGATCAGAGAGATGCCACGATGGTCATGAGGAGTTGGCAAATGATGCCAGTGCTCATGGAGTGGGGCATGTGTGGCAGTAAGCTGAATCCACCAAGTATACACTCTGGTTTCCATGTTGAGTTTACTCAATGTCTACCTTGTTTGCGAAACTTGGTAAGATAGGAAACTGATTATGAAGAGGTGTGTTGGGCTGACAACAAAGCATTTATCAAACTATAATCTACCCCAAGCTGGCAACTCATCACTTCCTAGCAAGAAACTCACCATGCTGCTTGTAAAAAGTGTAAATGATGGAATGAGCCTCACCAGACTCATCTCGTTCTGCTACAAGTCTGACCATCTGACCCTTATATGATTTTGCCTATTGTCACCATTACTGATTGTGGCTTTTGAATTTACTATTTACTGATAGATAGAGTTTCAAGTCCCCAGTGGCCATGATAAGATCTTAAATCCAGATCCTCCACCCTGTTTTCTGGATTACTAGCCCAGTGACATAACTGTTAATTTCTTCGATACCGAAGTTTCTGAGCTCCCTCCCTCCAACTCGTCCTACTGTGGTATCACCTGAAAATCTTGGCCATGATGCATTGAATTTCTGAAAGTAAGTTGTTTATGTAAATTAGAAATGATAGCTTCTAAACCCTGAGCCAAAACACTAATATTCACCGTCAACCTAAAACACTCAATATTCACCATCAAACCTAAAAACACTCAATATTTACAATCAACCCGAAACAATTGATATACACCATCAACCTAAAACACTCAATATTCACCATCAAACCTAAAAACACTCAATATTCACCATCAACCTGAAACACTCAATATTCTTCATCAACCCCAAACACTCAATATTCATAATCAATCTGAAACACTTAATATTCACCATCAACCCAAAATGACTTCTGCAAATGAGAACATATTTCTGTCCTTTAGAAAATGTCAGGTTATTCCACTTGACAAAGCTAATTGCATTATATAATTAAATATAATCAATTACTGGAAACACATAGCAGGGTTATCAGCTGCTCAAAATGAAAGTATTTCAAACATGACATTTTCAAATCAGCACTGAAGGATTTGTTTGTTTTATTTCTTTACATACTATTCTAGTTTGTGATACTGTATCTCTTCCCTGTATAAATTATTTGAAATGACAAACGTAATCCGTTTCGGAGCAGTAACTGATATCAGGATAATCCCAGGCAGCACCTCAGAGAGAAAGTGTCTTTTTGTCTGTGCTCCATAATGTGTTTCTCTGCACTTTGGGAAGTACACGTCAGTGCAAGCAATTTTTAAGAGCTGCTCGACGACTGCTCAGAAACCCGTGATCAGTAAACAGGAAATGTGTTGGCTACACAGCATGTGGTCCGGAATTCAAGCTTGGGGACAACATGTTGAATTGACTCACCAGGGACAGCACCGTTACTGCTCTGCGACAACAGATAGTACAGTGGCTGCCCTCAACTTGTAAAGAAGGGAATATAGGAAGGAACAAAGAGGAATCAAAGTAATAATTCTAGTTGCACTTTTAGCAGTCACTTCTAAAGATTGGTGAGAAATAGTTCATTGAGATTCTGGTCACCTGAAGCAATTTGAAACATTAATTTTTATTTTTCTGTGCTGGAGTGGCACAAGGTAGATGTTTTCTTTTCCATGCATAGCATGATACAACACAGAGTAGACCATTCAACCCATTGTACAAGTGCTGGCTCTATGGTCGAGCTATGTAATATGGACAAATGGCTCTTCCTTTGTATGCCTGTTAATTTTTTCACCTTCAAATATTTCTCTCCAATGTTTACCAGGGTCAGAAACTTTTCCAAAGCCAGCAAAGTAAATGAGGAGGTTGTTGGACTATTGGGTGAGATGAAAACTGATTAGGTGGAGGCATTATGAAGGGGCAGCGATAATTGGGATGCATATGTCACCTGGTCTGGATAGGGTGCATTCTTGATGGCTGAGGGAAGTACGAGTAGAAATTGTGGTGGTAAAGGGCTCCTAAGGTACAGAAGTGGTCCCAAAGGGCTGGGAGATAATAAGAGCAGCAAAGGTTGACATAGCAATTTTAGGTGGATATATGGAGTTAGGCCAAAGATCAGCCATGATCTAATTAAATGAAGGAACAGGCTTGAGGTGCAGAGTGGCCTACTCCTGTTCCTGTTTCTATGTTACAGAACATTCAGTTTAATTGGAAGACAGTGGCCTGTTGATCCAGAGATCCAGGCAATGTTCTGGGGACCTAGGTTCAAATCCTGCCATGGCAGATAGTGGAATTTGAATTGAATAAAAGTCTGGAATTAAGTATGTAATGATGACCATGAAATCATTGTTAATTGTCACCCTTCCGGTTCACAGATGTCCTTTTGGGAAGGAAACTGCTGTCCTTACCTGATCTGATCTACATGTGACTCCAGACCCACAGATATGTGGTTGACTTTTAGAGATGAGTAATGAATGCTGGCCTGGACTGTGATACCCACATGAATGAATACAAAAAAAGTCCGTTTAATGTGGTAGGGAAACATTTAGAATGATGAGGGGACTTTTCTACTTTTATTTTCCCCCTTTCCCCAACAAAAATGGATGGTTTTAGGTTGGTTAGGTTATTAAAAGTTTAAAATCTGGAATCCTGTCCTGAATCCATCTCTAAAGGGCTGACTTCTGGTGTTAATGATGGTGGACAACCCATTCACAAGTTGGCGATTTCAAATTTATAATGAAACACTGTACCTCAGAATTAACCCCTATTTTAAATTTATCTTGAGTTGGCTGAACTTTCCAGGGCTCAGAGAGTGGCTAAATGGCTGTTTGGCTAAAGGGAGGTAGGGTTAGCTAGATCCAGGAGATAAATGCCTTTTTATTTCATTGCAGGTTCCAATGCCCCTGTTTCACCAACTATTCCTGACCAGACACTGTCCCACTCCCTGCCCACAACTCAGTCGATCTCCCTGCCCCAGCTCCTCTGATCTCTCCTCTCCGACACTGCCAGTATCCCCCCAGACTCTTTCAATCTCCCCTCAGCCTTTCTGGTCCTAGCACTACACCAAGTTTTGATATACGTTAATAACATGGATTCAAGGGACAAGGCACAGTTTTCAAATTGGCAGATGATTCAAAACTTGGAGACATAGTGAATGGAGAGGAGGGTAGCAATGAACTTCAGGAGGACACACATTGCTGGAAATATAGAAACATAGAAATGTAGGAGCAGGAGTTGGCCATTCAGCCCTCCGAGCCTGCTCCACCATTCAATATGGTCGTGGCTGATTGTACAATTTCAGTATCTCATTCCTGCTTTCTCTCCATACCACCTGATCTCTTTAGCCGCACGGGCCACGTCCCGCTCCCTCTTGAATATATCTAATGAACTGGCCCCAACAGCTTTCTGTGGGAGAGAATTCCACAGGTTCACAACTCTTTGAGTGAAGAAATTCTTTGTCATCTCAGTCCTGAATGGTTTACCCCTTATTCTTAGACTGTGGCTACTAGCTCTGGATTTCCCCCAATATCGGGAACATTCTTCCCCCATCTAGCCTGTCCAGTCCCATCAGGATTTTATATGTTTCTATGAGATCCTCCCTCATTCTTCTAAATTCCAGTGAGTACAAGTCCAGTCAATCCAGTCTTTCTTCATATGTCAGTCCTGCCTTCCTGGGAATCAGTCTGGTGAACCTTTGCTGGACTCCCTCAATAACAAGAATGTCCTTCCTCAGACTAGGAGACCAAAACTGCACACAATACTGAAGGTATGGTCTCACCAAGGCCTTGTGTAACTGCAGCAAGACATCCCTACTCCTTTACTCAAATTGTTACGCTGCGAAAGCCAGAATGCCATTAGCTTTCTTCACTGCCTGCTGCACCTGCATGCCAATCTTCAGTGACTGTTCCATTGTGACTCCCAGGTCTCGTTGCACCTCCCCTTTGCCTAAATTGCCACCATTCAAAACGACAGAATCACAGACGTGTCATGGGCAGAAGGGGTCCATTCGGCCCATCATGCCTGTTTCAGGTCTCCAAACAAACATCACTACCTGGGGCCAATTGCCTGCTCTACTCCCCCATACCTTTGTACAGTGTATCTATCCAAATAATCATCCAACGCATTCTAGAGTGCCTCAGTTGAAGCTGCCCCGTCACATTTCCAGGCAGAGCATTCCATATTCTAACTGTTCGCTGTGTGAAAAAGTATTTTCTCACATCACGTTTGCTCCTTTTGAAAGTCTCTTTAAATCTATGCCCACTCATTCTTGATCCCTTTATGACTAGGAACAATTTCTCCCTATCTACTTTATCCAGTCTGCTCATGATTTCAAAACCATCTATCAGATCTCCTCTTAGCTTCCTTCTCTCCAAGGACAACAGTCCCAACCTTTCAAATCTGTGCTCATAACTGAACTTTCTCATCCCTGGTATTCTTTTGGTAAATCACTTCTGTGCTGTCTCCAATCCGTTCACATCTTTCCAATAACATGGCATCCAGAACTGTTGACATAGATTAAATTCATCACAGCAATGTGTGCAGTGATGTTTTGGAAGGAAGCACTGGGAAAGCAAATACAATCTATAATTTTAAAGCAGGCATGGTGGCTCAGTGGTTAGCACTGCTACCTCACAGCACCAGGGACCTGGGTTCGATTCCACCCTTGGGTGACTGTCTGTGTGGAGCTTGCACGTTCTCCCTGTGTCTGTGTGGGTTTGCTCCAGGTGCTCTGGTTTCCTCCCACAGTCCAAAGATGTGCAGGTTAGGTGGATTGGCCATGGGAAATTGCCTGCAGTTTTTAAGGATGTGCAGATTAGGGGGATGGGCTTGTTGGGCTGAATGGCCTGTTTCCACACTGTCAGGGATTCTATGATCTATGAACAAGAACAAATGCCTGGAGGTGTAAATCTTTGAAGGTGGTGAGAGAGATTAACCAACCAGTTTGTAAAATTTCTGGGGTTCAGGGCTTTGTAAATTGATGTAAAGACTATTAAGGCTATGAGGTAATGCTAAATCTATGTTAAACAGTAGGGCAATTCCAACCAGAGGGATTGTATCAAGTTTTTGGCACCACACTTTAGGACAGACAATGAGGCTTTGGAGAGGGTACAGAAAAGCTTTGCTAAAATAGTTCTAGGGAAGATGGGTGGAGCTGACTGGAGAAGTTGGGATTGTTCACCTCAAAGCAGAGAATATTGAGAAGAGATTTGAAAAGAGTGTTTAAAATTATGAATGGTTCAAATAGAACAAATAAAGGTAAATTACTTTAATTGACTGAAGAGACCATAACAGGGGCACAGATGTGGGCTGGGACTGGGAAATGAACCTGAGGTGACATGAGAAACAATTTTCTTGACAAGGAGTGGTTAGAGTTTGGAATGTACTGCTTGACAGGGTGATGGTTACAGATTCCGCAGTAACCTTCAGAACGGAATTGAATAAATATTAGAAGGAGCAAAGAAAATGCTGGATTATTGCAAAAAGACAGAGCAGTGAACTAACTGAATTGTATTTAAAAAGATGCGATACAGATTCTATTGGCTGAATTATGGCCTTCTGTGCTGTACTGTTCATTATCCAACATCTCGAATTCTCCCATTCCGAACGTGACCATTAAATTTGCTTTCACCACTCATTCAGGCAGTGCCTTCCAGGTCATGATGACTCT